AAGATTCTGTCGAGCAGGCCTTAGACGTCATAAAAGTATTCCAACAGGCATCTGGACTTGAACTTAACATCCACAAAACAAAGCTCATGTGGCTCGGTAAACGGTCGAACGCTTTCGAATCCATTCATGCCATTGAAGCTGTGCCAAAAATCAAAATTCTGGGAGTTTGGTTCTGTGCGTCAGGCCCGTGTGGCGCTGACAACATTGCACCAATCACCATTAAAGTAAAGCGTATATTAAATTCATGGTCGCAACGTAGTTTGACGATTAAAGGTCGAATCGTGGTGTCAAAAACCCTGCTAGCTTCCCAGATCGTCTTCTTGTCGATGTGTGCCACTATTCAAAAGGCAGATTTGGACGAACTTCAGAGACTGCTCATGAATTTTCTTTGGAGAGGCAGACCCCCGAAAGTGGCCAAAGCTACATTAGTGCAAACGATTAGAAATGGTGGTCTAAACGCTGTAGATATTTTTTGTTTCTACACAGCTTTACAATTATCCTGGATTAAAAGAATGGCGTTCTGTTCCGAATCCCCATGGCGGATTATTTTACAACGCCGTTTAGGGGAATTCAATATAACTGACCTTCTTAAGAGCAACAACGCCAAATCATATTTAAGAGAACTGAAAGTTCCTCAATTCTATAAAGACATAATATCAATATTCCATAACATAAATACGTCACCAGTAAACAATGCCGTTCAAGCCCGACTGCAAAATCTCTGGCACAACGATAAAATTAAGGTGAACAACAGACACACATTCAACAAAGCCCTGTACGGTTGTGGAATACGATACGTTGACGACTTAGTTGGCGATAACGGCGAGTTTTTGAACTACGCGCAGATTCTAAGAAAGTTCCCACGATTAAATGTAGACTTTCTCACCATTAACTCTTTGAGAAGGTCAATCCCAAAGGAATGGAAAGACATGATTAAAGGTAACCCACTTAGTGTGGCCACGTCGGAGGACAAAGAAAACATTTTCTTTCTAGGTAGTAATTCGTCTAAAGTCATGTTGGAACACTGCAGAAGTCATCACTATTATAAGAGACTGATCGACAAACATCAACCTAGAGCGGAAATTAAATGGACGGAAGAAGGTGCACGCGTTGCTAACTGGAGTAAAATTTACATGATCCCATATAATTGTACAAAATCTACTAGATTACAGTCACTTCATTATAGGATTATTCATCGGTACATTCCCACCAGGAAATTCCTATGTACGAGGGGGATAGCTGGTAGCCCACTCTGTTTGAAATGTTTCGCCGTGGACACATTACAACACTTTTTCTGCGACTGCGAAGACGTTGAAAACCTTTGGGTGATAATCGTTGGTGCTTTAAAACGTTCCTTTAATCTTTCTGATCGTCAAACATCTAGCGAAAATATGTTACTTGGAATATGTGATGCGCCTCCTGTTGTTAACCTTATAATTCTCCTGTGTAAGAATTATATAATAAATTGCAAACTAGGGCAACATGTAGGTGATAATATAGATATTGAAACATTCAAACACATCCTCAAACAAGAATTCAAAGCAGAGATGTTGATCGAAAAGAAAAATAATGTCGTAGAAGATGTAATTAAGAAGTGGCATAAGGTATTTGATGCTGAGGGGAATTGTGTATTGTTCTGACACGCGTGAACTTATAACCCGGTCCCTTGTACCGGGCTGCACCGATTAGGCGCGATTGCGCGAAATGCGTAACGAGCGAGCATCGCCTCGTGCGATCCGTGGCCCCCGCCCTACCCCATCCGGGCTAACCCGTGCCCGGCCCCCTGCATATGCAGGGCAGGCCGGGCCGCCGGCCCGTCGCGCGGACCGCCTGTGGCCCGCGCTTGGCGGGCCGGTGGTCAGGGGGCGCCGCCTCGCGTGGGTAGACGCACGTAGGTGCGAGGCGGCGCGGGCGGGGGCCAACAGCCCCGTCCCAGCCCAGTGCGGGACGGGCTGAGGCATACCCGGACGTACCTGTAATGTCATTGTCTATTATCTACATAGGTGTGTCTATTGCCAACTGCTTTTGTGTGTACTCAGTGTTAAGTTGTGGACTCATTCTAAGTGTCAATCTGTGTGTGCGACGTGTGTTGTGTCTTCTTTATGTGTAAATAAATTATTCTGCCAGAAAAAAAAGCGGCGTTTGAACTTTTGCCGTTTTTGAGGCTAAAATGGCGGACATGACGTCACTAAAACGTCAATTTCTCAAATATTTTCCGACGGATTTCGCTCAAATTTTCAGGGAACGTGTCAAATTGATGTAAGAAAAGGTACTGAAAGTTTGGCGGCGCTGCGCGCCGCCGTTTTTTAGATATTGCAAATATTCGCGAGGGGAGTAAAATTTACCCCCCAGCCCCGCGCGGGTTAATATTCATTGTGATCAGAGAGCTTTTTTATTCCAAAGAAAAGTTAGGAAGAAAACCTAAAGAAAACCTTGCGGCGCGAGCTATTGGCGAAAAACAGGAGGGGTGGGCGGAATCCGCCCCCCTCCCCCTTCCACTGCGCGTGTTAAAATGTGAGGATGAGAGAGGAGGAGTGGGAAATTATAATTAAATTCGAACGTGTTTTTAATGTCCAAATACATAATGCAGTTTTGTCCGTAATGGCACAATCAAACAAAGACTACACTCATTCGTTTACATGTAATTATACATCAACCGGGCCTGCCTATTGACTAGGGCCGGTCTCCGGCTGGTTTTGTTAGGTCTAGTTTCAGGCAGAACATGAACGGCGTTGATGTACTTGGGAGTTTTTACAGCGTTAACTTAACAATGCTTTATGCTACAGCCGAGTCTGCAACTCAACCTGGTCGTTACTCGGCATTGTCGTTATCACAGAGCTTCAAATCGATCAGCTACAGGCTGAACACGTACCTATAGGGTATAGGAAGACGTCCAAAAACTGTGGGCCATAGTATCTGTAGTGGGATCTACGTTCCATGCTGGTCAGGCATTTTGCAAAATGCCTAGTCATTTTGTAAAATGGCTAGCCATTTTGAAAAAAAGCCTGGTTACGTTCAGTCATTTTTCAAACAGCCGTCTTTTTGTAAAATGCCTAGGCATTTTACAAAATGACTGATTTTCTAAAGTGCCTGCAACATATACATTATACATCCTCTTCCGACCAACGTCGTGACCAGATTGGGTTTGACCTGAGCTTGGCCTGAGTTGAACATCCCCAGTTGACCTCACCCAAACAAGAAACATGGAATTCGACGCGCCTGATATGACGAACACGAGGATCTGTGGCCATTTTAAGCAAAATAAAAGAGCCATATGTTGGGACATCCGACCTCACCTGACCTCAGAGGTCGCCACTTGATTTGAGACCTAAAAATTAGGTACAGCCGTTGCGTCTCGTAACGGCACAGCCACGCACGATCTTTTTTATCCACGAAGCTAGATCTAGCTCAATTGCGGCAAACGGCGAGGGGCAGAGGGGAGGTCCAACCCACCCTTCTTCCTGCCCGAGGCATATGTAGAAATCCAAAGAGTCCAGCAAAGTTAAATTCCTCTGCAGATGCTGGTGTAGGTCTCTCAAAAGTCAAAGGCCTGTGGGTGTGTCAGAGGTTGGGCTGAGTCCTTGAGACCAGTGAGAGGACTCTGGAAGGGGAGGGATGTTCTCATAAGCCAGTGTGGACATTGGACAGTCACCAATTCACCATCATACTGCAGCATGACAGATGACTCTGACACTTGTCAGTGTTGCCTGTGCAAGGTCCTCAACTCCCCAAAAGCCAGTATGGGCCTTTGGTTACTAGTGTAGCCTGTAGGGCTCTTGCAACTCAGAGGCCTTTGTGAAGGCCTTAGATATCATTGTGGGCCTTCAGACATCAGCAGAGCCTCTAAGGCACCTGTGATGTAGCCCTCAGCTATCAGTAACTGTGAGTGTAGGTATGATAGAGTATTGCATAATCCTCAGGGACTGATAAGGATAACATGAGCCACCTTGAACAAAAAATTTGGGTCACTCGGTCCTCAGAATCCTGCATGGGTCAGCAAACCAGCAGAAGTTGCTAAGATGCTGGTGTGGAGCCTCCAGGCTGCTGAGATTGGTGTGGAACAGCTCAGGACTGTGTGAGAACCTCTATTACTTGTCAGTCATTATCAGATGTAACAGAACTCTGAAGCATTCAAAGCCCCTGTAGAACATCTTGAGACCACCTGCCTCTTAGGAAGCCACATAGGGGCTCACTGACTCTTACACTGACATGAGCCTTAGAAGCCAGTATGAGCCCCCAGGGGCAGGACTAGGAGCCTGTATAAGTCCTAAGAAACAAGTTTTTATTTGGACACCTAAGGGTAAGTTTAAAACCTTGAAGATATTAATCAGCACTTTGTATCATGTATAATATAGGTAGCCCAGGGGCTCTCACACAACAATGTGGAAGGCATCAGCATCAAATGACATGTCCGCACTCCTACCTATTAGATTATTGAGATGAAATTCAACTGTGTTACACACAAACTGAAACAGTGCCCTCCTCCACACTGCAACCCTCAGTCCAGGCTGGATGGGCAGCTTTATCTCATGCAGGCTGCTCTTTTGGGGATTGTAGTGTCACCGCTGCTCCCAACGTGAGTCGTGACACCTGTAGCCAGGTGCCGGGAGTACTTGTGGGACTGGTCGGACTGTCCTTTAGAATGGGCGGGCGGTGACTCAATAGGGTGCCTACCCAGACCAATGTCTTCCCTAATTCCTATCATCCTTCTGGTTTTGAAATGGTCTTGTCAGACCGAAAGGGCCTAACCAACAAAACAAACAAAACAAAACAAAAACAAGACAGCAGTCAGTGTCAAGTGAGCAGCCTCAGCCTGGAGATTAGGGTCGGGTGATGATATCAGCAATACAATAGTGATAAGTGATGGTCTCTGTCCTCTGGTGATGGTGTTGGATTCCCCATTCAATGGAGAAATCTAGCTAAAATTAATCAAACTACTCTGAGCAAAAATATGACATCAAAAACAATATTGACATGAAATAAACACGTAATTTTCCCACCTGAAGACCAGAAAGGCCAAACTTCTTCCACTCCTGAACAATGTTTATCACTTTTGCACTCATTTTTACACTTTCACTCCTTCACAAAACACCACAAATCACTCAAATCACTCAATTCACCTCACAATATCACTAATCACGACACCAAAACACACAAACGCAACGTAGACAGCTTACGATGTAAACAATATCAGCTGACGACTACAATAGAGAAGAAATTTTAAGCAGAACGTTTCTGATTTCTGCTTCCTACAATACAATACAAATGCTTGAAATGCAATTGATTATGAGCTGACAAAAAGTTATGTTTCAACAAAGATAATTTTACACAAGGTTTTAACACACAAAGGAAAAAAAGCAATTTGAAGTAAAAGAGATTGTGCTGCTCTATAGTATCGTAAGAAAGAAGACATTTCCGACGCTCAAGTTTCGAAAGAATTGACCGGTCAGCGTATTTACAAATTGCAACCGAGCTCCGCCGTGGGGTAAGGTGGGCAGGGGTTTTCGCCAGTTTTCGCACTACGGCTGCGGTTGAACTACCGTCTGTGGTAGAAACTTCGGGATGATGGCGCGTTTCATACGAAATCTGGCGCAATGTTTGTTTGCTTCTGAACTTGTATTGTTATTGCTGTGAGCTCTTGAAGTGGGAGTGTTTCAATAACAATTTGTGGATTATTTGAGTTTCTTGCTATAAAAATCGAATAATATTATGAAACATTGTGTGGAAACTGCAAATAATGATATAATCAATTGCTTAGTTTGGGAATTGATACACATTTTGTAGAGGTTTGTCTGGCAAATGGTGTAACAAACTTCAAGCCTATCATGATCTGAAGCTGTTGTAACAAATCAAAATTGTTTTGATGTTCCATAGTACCTTGTTGGAAAGACTGGAGCATGGTTCAAGATGATGTTTAAAAATTCAAGATTTGTATAAAAGCTCATGACTGAAGAGCAAAAACAGTTATATGATGGCTCAATCAAACGTGGAAATGGATGACAAAACAAAAAGTAGAGTATCTACATTCCGGCATGTGAGAACAACTTCAGAACTTCATAGTTCTTGTAGTATTGCATTCTTCTTATGTACAGTTCTAGGTTTTGTTAGGGTATTTCAATTTTGATGTGTCAGTTGAGATATAGGTGGATTGCGGACAAAATTTAGAATCATTGCATGGTACCTAGATAGGTACTTGTTGGGTAAAAAGGTATGTGATGAATGCCACGAGAAGGTTTTTTAATGATTTAATATATGGTTATTGTTGTGCCTACAAAAATGCACGCTCCTACTAGCACCTAGTTTTTGAATCAAATCGAAAGTACCTATTTGCTATGAATGTAAATATGTACCTGCAAAGTATGTCAATAAATTTGTGTGATGTTGACCAGAGAGCCGTATCATCTGGGCATTTATGTTGCTTCTTACATTAGGTGTTAAGCATAGTAATTATGGATGAACTTTGTGCAAATATCTTCAATGCACAGTGTATGTAGCATGTCTACAACCCTCACTGATCCTGCTATAGCTATAGGCATTTGGCACCAGCAAGACCAAGGGCATGAACTTCACAGTTGCTCAACCCTTTGTCATGCACCACCAGTCACTTTTTTTCCTTACATAGCAGTGTACACAATAATGTGCGGAGGGCCTACACAAAAACAACATTATTAGTGTGCACTATGATGCACAACATTGTACCCTGATTATTTGAATATTCTGATCACTCAACAGTCAACAGTCAGGAGACCATTTTTGAATGTCACATTTATTATACATCACTCGTCAAACAAGAGCATGATGACTCACATTTTGACAAGCAATCATGGTAATATTCCAATAAGTTGGACACCTCCCTGTCCCTGGGCATCATTTTTCCAGGAAGGTACCTCTGCAGCAGGTGTTGTGATAGGTTAGGTTGAATTGGGCTAAGTTAGGTGAAGTAAGACGGTTAGGACCAGGTCAGACCGTAAGGCCTGGTCAGGCTGATTTTAATCTTTCATTCTAATTTGACATAGATACCTATTATTACCTATGTTTTTGCTCCAGAATGAACTTCATTAGGTAATGAGTTCATTTTGTTTTGTTTTTTATCTGTCTTGTTTTGTGTTTTTGTCCCTTATGTTTTGCCCCATAGGCAAGGGTGGAGCTTTTCCAGGGAAGGTGGTGGGGCAAAAAGCCGTCAAACCTGCAATGCTCGGTGCAACTCAGATTATGGTTCAGATTATGTGCAACACTGAATCAATTCTTTTAATTACAGAACATTTTGAATTATACATACATTTCAAAGCTCCTCAATGCGAACAACATGGTGGTTTACTAAGCAACGAAGTTCTACAAATAAGCAAAAGTTGGAGGGGCATAACGCTATTTTTTCTCTGACAGCTTCGTAACATGTTACGAAGGCACTAAAACTACTTCAGTACCTACAGAGTGTAACGAAATTATCCGGCCACATCTATTTTTTCGCCATATCTGTTCGCAGTTTCCTAATCCTTTCTGATGTTAGAAGTGGGAATACTGGATGAATACGTGCCTCTGCTATCGGTTTTTAACTCAGCAGTGACCTGACCTTGTCATGTGACTGTTGCTCTGACTAGGAGTCGATTCACAGACGGGTTCACATGGTAGTTTTTGTCCAAGCCAGTTGCGAGAAAGGGATACAATCTCTCCTTTCGTGGTAAAATTGCATGGCGGCACCCACGGCGTCATGAGCCAGAAGCTGGTCTGCCAGCAGCTGGACATCAGCAGCAGCCAATTGCACATCTGCCTGAGGCGTGGTAAGCTGGGACTTCGATAGCAGACTCAGCCCGGTCGTGACCACAAAAGCCGCCCTTTGTCAAGTGGTGAGGAGAGTCAAGATAGCGGCAAGGAAATGCCACCAATCAATCCGCAAATTGACTCGAATTCTTACCAAGTCAGATAATAAGAGTCCCATATCATGGTTTACCGCTACCCGCCCTTTAACTTGGTTCTAGTGCCCTTCAAACCGAAAAAGACAACGAAACTGACGGGAAAACAACCAGTTCACCACCTTTCGCCTCACGCCAGATCGCGTCCACTGGTTGAACAAAGATAATGGTGAGGTGGTCTGGTTGGATGGGTAGCCGTTCGAGCTGTATTATCCTTTGAACCGTCAAATCGGACATGTATGGGCGCCCAGCCGCTCGAACTTGCTGGCCTTTGCCGCCGTCAAACATCCGGACAATATCCAGAACTGGAGCATGTTCAGCTGCCTAGCGATGCTCCAATAGGACAGTGTCACATAATACCGCCATCAACGTCAAGCATTACGGGAGCAACATACTGGCCAATGAATGGTTGGAGCCGCTCAACCAGACGGTATAGGAGGGCTCGGTTTCTGAACGCGCACTGATGCCTGATTCAAGCCACGCTGTCTTCATGCGCGGCGTGCTACTTAAAAGTCCCTAAAAGAACGGGCAGTGATGCCGATAGAACCTTCAATTATTCTGGGCTAACGCTTATGACTTGGAAAAAGTCGCGATCCCAATTCAATCGAAAAACTGTGGGCTCTTGTTCAGCAGGTGACTGAAGAGACGCCCGCCACAAGCACCGCCCAACCGCAGGCACAGCTTTAGACGGCGTTGGTCCGCATCAAAGCCAGTGTGCTGGAGAATCCAGTGGCTGAAATGCTCCAGAACATTCGCCACTGTGTTTTTATGAAAGGTGGCTACATGCTCAGTTAAAAGAAAAAGTACCAGAATGTTTTGCTTTTTAATTACAGCGGGAAGAAAGGTGCCCGATAATTTCGTTACACCCCCTGTAATGTTCAAATGGTTGCTAAATTCGAAATCAGCTCCAAAAACTAGCCTAGAAACATGTGAAACTCGAAAAAGTGAACCGAGGTCAACAAAGGTCATTGAGCTGACCTGACCTTCAGGTGACCTTGACACCCACCCTCATGCAGAGGACCAGCATCATATCACATGTTTCAACGCTTGAAACCACGTAAAGACTGCAAACGCGCGGCTAATGCGAGCCGACATACGCCGAATCGCGATTCGGGCCAAACATGGTCTCGAGAAATAGGTCACAGGTCAAATGTCATTTGGGTCACGGTCATGAAATTTTCAGGGTAGGTGTAAAATTGATAAAATCGGGGGTATTGAAAGTTTCGTCGCGATCGGACAGTTTTTACTTGAGTTACTAACGAAAAACCGATGTGGTCCGTTCAACGCCTCCTTCTATACGGGCGAGGGAAAAGCGCAACCAAAAAGGCAAAAATATGCACATGCGATAACCTATACTGCGAAAAAAGGTGCATCATTTTTGAACGTCGCCGACAAATTGCAATTACCCCAAGCTCAGGCAGATGTATGGTAGAAAATACCCCAAGTGAAATACACTACGGCGGAAATAAAATACCCTACGGCGGAGCTCGGTTGCAATTTGTAAATACGCGACCGGTCAAATCGTAAGATTCGCAAAGGCAAACATTTGATTTCTGCGCCAAGGCACTGTGTGCGCTGTACGCGGTCTCTGACTGAAAACTGAAATTAAACCCCATGAAATTAGAGACTGAGTGAGATTGACTGAAATTCAATTGTTTGTCTTCGTGCGTGGTTTCAGCCCCAATTTGTATTCAGCTTACTTGTCTGGGCTGTTTCCGGGTTCGGCTGCAGCTTAGATCAATATACCCTGGCTTTGATATTCGGTTTCGGCCTCGGGGTGTGGTTTGAAAACTTGAAAAGGGCAGGCCAGTGACCACAAGAGAATTTTGAATTGATAGCAACATGAAGCTAGTCCCGGCAATGATTGAGGGTTTGAAGAATTCAGAGATCTTCAGTAAGCTTCGCAACGTTTCTGGTGAAGGTTCAACAACGGCTCTGCCCGCTGATCTACTCGATATTTTTGGGCAGTTTTTGTTCTTCTGGGATTTCAGTGAGCAAGCAGTACATGCTATAAATTTGAACTACGAGAGTTCTGGTCGAACTGAATCTGAATACCAGGTAGGTCTATCTGGCTCACCATACTGCATGACAAATTGGCAGCTGGCAGATGGCAGTCAGCTAGTCATTAACTTTGCTTTTCTTGCTTTGCAGCATTAATGATAAAATGGAATCAGCTTTTTAACCCTCGGCCTGGCAGGAGGGGTCGATGCGACCCCCCCTAAGGTTTTTCTAAGATAGCGTAAAAACGGTGGCGTGCAGCCGCCGCGCCGCCAAATTTGGTACAGCCTATGGGGCAACCTTTTTACATATGATCTGAAAATTTCAGGTCCGGGTGACCTTGGGTCAGGTCACCAGGTCAGAAAAACCGGTACAAGGTCATGGTCAAATTTCAATTTTCTTTTTGCACCTGTCCAACCCACAGTTTTGGACTGATTTCCTTCAAACTTTCAGGATGTGTTAAGTTCACCGAGTTGTATAATATATAGTTCGGGTTTTTTGAGGTCACTGACCTGAGGTCAGTTAGAGGTCATTACGTCGTAATGTTAAGTCTATGGGAAAATACTAAATTCGGAAAATACTGGAGAAATCTGCATCGTTCTATCACTTTTGTGCTTTGAAACCACAGTACATAACAGCAGGTCACTTGGTGCTTCTTTGTTTGGTGTATTTATCCATGGGTCAGGTCAAATGAGGTCAACTGAGGTCAAATTACGTTTTTGCCAATAACTTGGCACATAATGACGCTAGAGCTTAAAAATGGTATCATTGTATTCCTGGTGATCAGCCGAATCGAATGATATGCGATATGATGCAATTTGGTTAACTTGAACTTAATTTATTAATTTAAGTTTACTTAAAATTTAAGAAAAACTTTAAGTACACTTAAGCAAGCTAAAAAGTATATTATTCGACGCGCCTTGACGTGCTGAATTCACTGGTGCTTTTCTTTTTGCTCTATCTTAAATAGATCAAAAGTTATAAGCGAAAAACTTTTGACCTGTTTTTAGCGAAATTTCTACATTTATACACCCCCAAAAAAACCCTAAATATTGACCTAGAGCAACCAAATTTGCACAGGGGCGAGAACTCCAGGGGTCCCACCTACCTACCAAATTTGGTGTTTCTAGGTGCCATAGGAGCCAATCGCGAGGGGTGGTCGCATCGATCCCCCCCCCCCCCCTGCCAGGCCGTGTTATGAAAAATGCCCTGCCAGGGCGAGGGTTAAAATACACTATTGTAAGAATTGTAATAGTTAGCAACATTTTGGTAGTTTTTGACCTCAACTTAATCATAGTCCATTTTTTTTCAGGTTCTAACTTCTGTTGACACTTAGATGGGTCTCTATTGTCATCTTGTATTCTCTTTTTGTTCCAGCTCTGTTGTTTTTTGTTTTCCCTCCTCTCCCCCCAAAAAAATTGTATGGAATGTTTGACATTATCTGCTGAATCACTCTCATGTTCTCTGTGACTTTTTAGCACTTGTTGCTGCAAGTGGTATTCCCCTTTCAAGATCCACTTTGTTACAATATTTGATTATTTGCATAGCAGTTCAAAAATGAATGTGCAACCTTCAGTGTTATGATGTGTGTCTCCCCCTCAGCCCCTACTGGGTATACTAGTGTAGGTATCTATTGCTGACTAATACTCAATCAGCAATTCTGATTGAGTATTTTCCTGCATTTATTCAAATTTATATGAAGCATCCTGGCAATTATATAGGCATATGACAGGGAGTGCAACTGAAGTGCTGATGATCAAACATGTCAAATAGTCATGTGTCAAACCTGAACTAAATCCTGCATCTTAATCTCTACCAAACATCAGAATGGAAAGAAATACTGGACATTAACATTGGCTAAAAAGTATCCCATGTATTCTCAGGTGGTGTGATTGTGAAATTTTAATGGAATTGCCTGAATAAGCATCTTCGGTCTCATTTCTGGTGTCATTGAATTTTAGAGTGTTGGTTGGGCTTGTCTCAGTTGCTCGATATATGAGACTCACATGCCCCAGCAGAGTATGAGAGCCCTCGTTTAAGGAAGGACTCGACTTGCAACCCCCTCCCTGACCCTTTCCCCCAACCACTGACTGGGCTGAAGATGAAGTGGATACAAATTATCACATTCACCTCTAACCGTGAATTTAGTCGCTAGAACAGGATGAGGAGATCCAGGAAAATTGACAAAAGATTAAAAATAGCTAAAATCAAACTTTTGCTGTGAGTTCTCCAAAGATCGGTAGTGCTGGCACGAATACGGTCCATGCAATGCACCCCTTGGATTTTCGGGAAAACAAGTTATCCATTCTCGTTCGTAACTGACCTCGCAAAAGTATGTCGGCCTCACTGGGATCCAAATGGTCCCAGGGTTAGTTCTCTGAAGGCCTTCACAGGCGTCTAAGTTCTCGTGTCGACCGTTAAACTCCTTTCTTCTGTTGTTGTTTATGAAGGCCCATGCAGTTTTTTAAGGTCCCTACTCCCTTGACAGACCTTTTAGGGCCTTCGCCAGCTTCAAGTGCTCCATGCAGGCCTCTGAAGGTCCCATCGGCGTCGAGGGGCCCATGCCAGTCAAGCATCTGATGACCCCGCATCGACCTTTGTTGAGGACCACCCCTACGTAGGTCGCCGATGGCCAAGGTGTGCCTTTGAGGGTGTATTGCATTTGTATTGCATTGCATTGTACAGCCCACCGCTAAAGTAATGTAGGGTTTTACCAATCTCAACGGTTGGCTTTGACTGGCGATTATTTAATGCGGAGTGATCAAAAAGAAGATGTCAATAGCTAAAGTTGCAGTTGCAAGGGTGACGATACATATAAGCTACATTCAAAGTTTCATTGTAGTCTGTGATGCGGCCTCCGCCACCACCGTCAATCAAACTCAAACTACTGGATGCATTGGGATAGGGCACATGTATTGGGATCCAGTAATGTGGGGTAATGACAGAGAACCTTGGGTTGGTAACACCAGTCACCGTAAAAACCTGTCAATCACACACATGAGAAAATGGGTTAAAATAATGCTCTCTCAGCAATAAAGCGCACACATTCACACTCACATACACACTTCGCGTTAAATGTGACACATGAAAATGTGGCGAACGTTCAATCGAAACTTTGGTAAACGCATGATAAATAATCGAAACCAGTACGCTTGTACTTTGTAACAGAATGATAGCGCGAAAAAATTATTAACACATGGTGAAGCCAAATCGCGACGAACGATACAACGGAAATGACTAGAGAAAAATAGAAACGTACTCTTTCCAGGTACCTCGAGTGACAACAGTGTGCTGTCTCCACAGTCACTCCTCCCAGTCGCTCAATGCGCAACAAAGAAACAAACAAATAGCCGCCCAGCTCAATTAGCACTCATTCAATGGCTGGCGAACCTGCAAATGAGGAGAAACCAAAGTCAGATACAACTGTTACGCAGTTACATGGCTCCCCAAATTTGTGGATCACAAATTTCCTGCAATCCTCTCATCCACGAAATCAAAAACAATCTTCTGTAGCAGCATCACCTGGTGGTAACACAAGAAAGATACACCATCTGACGTGGTCGGCGGTTGCCACCGCGGGGCAAGGGCACTCAGCAACGCGGACGATTCACACGGAAACGTACGAACGGATGTACCCTGCTACCTCGGATACACCATTCATCACCGAGTCGAAACCGAGACTTATAAAGCCTCGATCGCGAACGGCGCGCACTCGTCCAAACGTGACCTCCGGGATATCGAATCGCGCGCGCGCGCGTCACTGAGCGTCGGTAGCGTTCACTTTCACACCTGCGCGTCTCTCACGCGCATCGATCACTGGGCCTCGTGGCTCCCCGTCTGGGAATCTTCCCGGTCGTGCAGCAGGAGAATCAGGCGATTCACCGGCCGGTCGTAGTCACTGGAACCGATTCGCACGCACACTTTGCGGATCAGTCCATCGGCGCTCGGGTACACACACACGATGCGGCCGAGCGGCCACCGTGAGCGCGGCTCGTCGTCGTGGACGACGGCCACGACGTCTCCGGGCTGCAGGTTACGGCGACGTTGCACCCACTTGTGGCGTTCCTGCAGGGTCGGCAGGAACTCACGCCTCCATCGGTCGCCAGATCTGGTCCGCCAGAAACTGGACACGCCTCCAGCGCTGACGCACGTACAGGTCGGTCTGGGAGAAGCTACCGGGATAAGGCACGGCTGCTCTCTTTAGTGTTAGTATCTGGTTCGGGCTCAGGGGGAGGAGAGTATCGTCCGGCGCTCCGCTGAAGTACGAGATCGGACGGCTGTTGACGATCGCTTCACACTCTGTCAGCAACGTCCGGAACAGCTCGTCGTCCAGTGTGTGGCCATGAGCCATGATCAGCGGAGTCAGCGCCGACCTCACGCTCCTGATCATACGCTCCCAAGCCCCTCCCATGGAACTTGCCATCGGAACGTTGAACCGGAACTCGAACCAGTCGCAGTCCTTCTTGAGCAGCTCTCCTCTGATCTTGACATGATCCTCCTCCTTCAGCGCCCCCTCCAGCATGTTCTTACCTCCCACGAAATTCGTCCCATTGTCACAGAACAGCTTGCGAATGGGTCCTCTCCGACAAGCAAACCGCCTGACAGCGTTCAGGAAAGAGTCGGCAGAGAGTGAGTTGACCGATTCTAGATGGATGGAGCGGGACGCCAGACAGCTGAAGAGTATTCCCTAGCGCTTGACCTCACTTCTTTTCTCTTTCACGTTGAAAGGCCCGAAACAGTCGACTGCACAGTGGCTGAAGGGTTCGGCTGGCTCCGTTCTCTCCGGTGGCAGGTCGGCCATCTTCTGTGTCAGCGGACTTCCGCGGAGTCTCTTGCACTTGACGCAGTCGAAGATGTAACTGCTCACTGCGGAACGGCCACCAATCACCCAATACCCAGAGGCGCGGAGCTCGTTCAGCGTCGAGCCGCGACCGCCATGACACGTCCTTTCGTGACACTCTCGCACGATGACTTCCGTCACGTGGCTCTTCCTCGGAAGTATCACTGGATGGACCTCTTCCTTCGGCAGAGTGCTGTTCTTCATCCGTCCTCCGACGCAG